ACGGCTGTAGAGGTAAATAGTAGAGGTAGTACTTAATGCCCCAGAAGCAATCCCGGCTTAAGTCCATCTGCCAGTGCCACAATTAAACAATCGATTAGCTCGACCAGCCTCACAGCTGAAATGCATGGTAGACACAAGCCTAGAACGGAATGAAGCGAGAACATGGCTTGGGAGAGCTCAAGCCTATAAAGTAAAAGCGAAAAAAGGGGGAGGGTTAGGCTTAAAACAAGCCTATCAAAAGAAAAGTGTAGCCTGGGAAAGGCCCTACCATGCATTTAGTTAACTGTGTCCTGCACTGACAGATTGGAATGATGCCCAGATTGCTCCTGCTACCTTCAAGCCCTGACCTCGAGGCACATTAGGCCAATAACACCCGACCCAACCCCGACTAACTGGATAAGTGGTGTCTAGGATAAAATATAAAAACGGTATGGGAAAAAGCCCAATCACTGGAACCTGTTCTAANTTTGTAACATCTCTCTCGGCACCCTGATTTCTGAATTTACGCCGTGGGTCGTCTACCCATGCCCCTTCCCTTGTAATACACACCGTGCAGTTGTTACTGCAGCAAGTCCGAGCTATAAGGGCGAGGCACGTGGAAAAACATTAGGTTTCGGTCCCATTGTAGATCTTGGGACGGGAGGAACCGTGTGGATTGCGAGCTCACATTGAAATACAGACTTTCCGAACCTGTTTTTTTTGGGCAGGGGAGGTAGTCTAGTGGTTTCAGTGTTGGACTCGCAATCCGCTAGGCGCTTGTGTCACAGGTTCGAGTCCCAGCCATTCTCTGCCTTTGATCCTGGTATCCTGTCCATCTGGATACCTTTGTAACATCTCTCTCGGCACCCTGATTTCTCTCTATATATATATATATAATTAATTACTTTATTTATTTATTTATTTATTTTTATTTATTTATTTATTTATTTATATTTATTTATTTTTATTTATTTATTTATTTATATTTATTTATTTTTATTTATTTATTTATTTTTATTTATTTATTTATTTTTATTTATTTATTTATTTTTATTTATTTATTTTTTATTTATTTTTATTTATTTATTTATTTTTATTTATTTATTTATTTTTATTTATTTATTTATTTTTATTTATTTATTTATTTTTATTTATTTATTTATTTATATTTATATATATTTTTAATTAATTAATTTTTTATATTTATATTTATATTATTTTATTATTATTAAATACCAGCCGCCGGTGTTGTGTTGCACCATCGATGCCATCGGCCATTGGCAGGTTTGGAAGCTGCCGATGACGATAAAGAAAATATGTGAACGCGGCTAGGTAAACGACAATAGAAATATTATGGCAGCCACTATCTAGCGATCGATATATCGATGAGGGCATCGATAGAGGCGTACCCTGCCGCCAATGACAATGTGCTACTGCTGAATATCACGAGCCGCCCATGTTGGATGCATCGAAAGCTTCTTAACCCATAACGATGGTCCCTCCTCGTGATGCATCGATGCACTATCGTTCAGGTCGATAAAACTGTTTTCACAGCAGCAATCGTAGTAGCCCTAAAAAAAAAAGCGAGAGTAGAACTTGTCTTCCTAATAGGCCTATTTTCAGAATACGTACTTCAAATCTAGTTTTTCAGTCTTTTTTTACATGCCACAATCAACATCGGCACCGGTCGATGGGTATGAGATCGTGATCGGCCATCAGCCCATCGGGCAAATGTAGCCACCAGTACAGCTCTACTGAAATATATTAAAGAATAAGGAAATATATTGGTTGAGTAAGCAATTACCTAGACAGGCAGTAAACTGCACTTATTCAAGGAGCGCAGACAGAATATAAATAAGTTACTCCATGATGCTGATTCTGTCCAAAACCACTCAAGGGAAACAGACAAAAAATGCCAAGCTTTCAACTCCAGAAGCGCAGAACAGAAAGGTCAAAGTAATTTTAAAAATTATGTAGCTTGCAGATATGGAGTAAAGCTTAAGGAAGCAAAAAAAAAGGGAAGGAAAGCAAAGGACCTATGATATAAAATTGCCAGACAGCCTGCGTCATGAAGCCACAAGTCCGACTAAACAAACACCATCCAGGCAGTAGAAGGCTATGAAGGAAAGGATGCCGTAGCTCTATGCAAGATTATAGACGCCTTCAACCGGCTACGCCTGGGGGTGCACGGGGGGTGCCCATAGCATCAACAGCTGCTAGTGAACCTGTTTCTGCAGTCAACCTAACATTCCAAAAATAGTAAATAGAAGTCGGAAGCATTTCTCATTCAAATAGCAATTTCGTTCATGCCACAGCCAATGCCACAGACTGTCAATGATCGGCACAAAATGTCTCACGAAAAGGCTGTCTAGATAGAAGAGGGCAAACAGCCTATGAGGATGCAAACAAGAAGATCGCATAACGAAAGCGGCCGGGGCCCAACATTCACTCCAGTACTTTGAACAACATCCCCTTCCTGTTCCGCGGATGGGATTCCGCAAGCTCTCTGATGCCAGCGGGAGTCAACAAAAGCATCTAAATTGCTAGGTCCTCACTTAGATCTTCAGTGATTTCTGCCTTTGCCTTCCACGCGTCACTTTCCATTTGAATATAGAAAAGCAGTTACCGGAGTTGCACTCTTCACCCCTCTGCAAACCGTCTGCACAAGATAGGATAATTGGCCGCTGTGAGACAAGTCGAGCTGTGGGTAGGAAATTTTTAAACCGAGGAAATTTAGGCCCTAATGCTGAAACTTCCTTTGTTAACGGTCCCTTAAGAATACATGAACTCCAATGGGAGAAAAAGAGCTCTTTAGCTAAAAGGCCTCTTTATCTTCCTTAAATTAGGTTAGTGCATTCGGGCCTTAGAATCACCCAAGGGCGAATTAACAATCACGCGACATTGAGACTATTTCATTAACCCCGCGGGTTTATCGAAGTTCTGTCTCCCACTTGGGGGATTCCAAATACCCCTAAATTCTAGATAACTCCATGACATATACGATTCTTTCATATTTTCTAGAAAGGCATGGTGAAAGACGCTGATAGTGAGGTACGGATGGATTTCACGAAATCATTCACAAAGGATCAAGAGTTCATGACTGAATCTCCACCATCCATTTTGGGATGAAAGGAGTCCTGTCATCGATTCGCCCTTCATGGCGATCTAAAGATCCTTTGTTTGCAGCTGTTTTCTTCAAAAGAAGAGATTCAAATGACCGTTTTGGGGCTCGTCTCTCTCTATAGTTATCAGGCACAATGCATTGTGGTAACGTGACTAGCATTATCTCGATCCGTAATAACACAATGCAAGTTTTGCCATGGGGCATGCCATTTCCTCCTCCCTCTAAGTCGATGAGAGAGAAGACGATGACGATGAAAATATTATCAATGATTAGGAGAGTTCCCTTGTTTCGAGACTCGTCAGAATCCTCTGCAGAATAGCGAGTGGTTCTGCTGCGTAGGATCCGAGCAACACGAGCCGAACCTGAATGAATAATTTTTTTTTGGCACTACCCTACCATGTAAAACTATAATTTACAGCAATGGTGTCAAACTCAAATCGGTCGGCGGGCCGCATTACTTACCCTGCAGATGTCTGCGGGCCACACCCATAATTTTTCATTGAAATTTGTGCGGAAAGTAAATCCAAGCGGAAATTCACGAACAGACGGCGGGCCGGATGAACCACCTCCGCGGGCCGTATGTTTGACACCCCTGATTTACAGGAAGAGGAAAAAGTAATATATAATATATAATCAAATGAGTGGATGTCACGAGCAATCGCAACGACACAACAGAAGTCAGGGTGGGTCTTGTGGTCGGTTGTCTTGTCTTTCACTTGCTAAAAATAAAATGTTGATCTAAGAGGAGAATGCACACGCAATATGCCGGAGACGAGAGCGTTCACCGCACGGTCATACCGGCCTGCAATTGCACAAGACATATCCGGGTTCAAATGCAAACAATAAACATGTGATCTGGCACTTCGTTCTACAACTGAAGTTCACCAATGGAAGAGGAGAGTTGCGACGTGCAGTATGGGGGGATTAAGCCGCAGGTCACTCAGTGTAATCACGAAACGCACGGTAATAAAATGACTCGAGCACTCTGCCCCAAGGGCAAACAAAATCACGATCTCTGTCCGCAGACCGTACAGTTTTTTCACGAGTACAGCACTGCTTTGAATGACTCCAAAACCCATGCATTAGATGGGTTTATCATGAGAACCATAGAGAAAATAGCTCGGCTGTCTTGAGAAAGACAGCTTTCACCTTAAAACATTAGCCCTCGTTAGTTCACGCGAACCAAAACATGTCAGGATTCGGGATACGCATTTTCTGTCTCCCTTTCTTCCCAGGGTCTCCAAGTTCGCCAAGATTCCTTTGAGTTGTCTTTTCTCATCCATCGGTGTGCGAGTCGAGTCGATTGAGAATGCGAAGGCAGCGGCGTAGCGTGGGGGCACATGCCCCCCCTCCCCCCCTTCCCCCACTTTTCAGAACTTTTCAGAAAAAGAGGTAAATTTAAGAAGGAAAGGACGCATGAAATGCCTGTGAATAATGTCCTAGAGTTGCTGTGCCCCCCCCCCCCACACACACACATTTTCCATCCACCCTACGCTTATGTGAGAACGTACCGAACTAAAAAAAGATCATGAAGAGTAATCGTACTAGACGGTAGACTACACCGTCCTTTATAATATTCTTTTCACTCAGCATCCTTTCCTTCCTAGCGATTCAATTTGGCTCATCCAGGGACTGAAGGAAACAATTGCGTGGGGGTCTAGTGATAAGGCAGTCCAAGTTATGCGATACGAATCGTTCGATCAGCAGTGTTGAAAGGTGGGGACGTGAACAAAGGTTGTCCCGTATAGATCCAGTTTATCTTGAGCCTCGCACTGGTCCATCGCACAGCGTAGTTCTGCATTGCGTCAAGCTCGTGACTAAGGCAGTCCGCTCAGTGTTAAGCACAGAGCAGGCGATGAGCGACATCTATAATCCAAAAGATAAATAAGGTTTTTGAAGTGGCGTTAGCACAGGTGTCAGACATGCTCATCCGTGTCCTCCAGAAGCGTGAGAGCACGTGCTTCTGCAGTGCCATCGTGCCTCTGTATGCCACGTATTTATTGTCTTGATGCAGACGAGGTTGAGCTGACTGAGAGCCAAGAATGAATGGGGACATCATCTTTCGAGTGGGAACGAGAAAAAGCGAGGTCGTAACTCATTGTCCTCATCCTGCTCATTTTAATGGGACTAATCGCATTCATGCAAACTAACGGATGAAGAAATCCATCATAAAAGGATTTCATAATATTGTGGACTTCCGCCACTCTGTTGTCATTATTTTTATTGGGAGTTCGACAACTTCAAATGGCTCTGAAGTCCATGTCTGCGTGTTGCTTTCCTTGTTAACTGGCGTTGGAATAAAATGAAACCTCGAGAGGTTTAGATAAGCCTAGGGCACAGGTGAAAAATCTCCATCCAATGCTTTTCTTGTATTTCATTTCAGCTGGCGCTTATCCAGACAGGCTGGGTTTTGGAAGAACTGAAGAAGGAACATCCCCATCTGCGTTTTATAATCAGTGAGTTTCATCACCTATTTGCTAATGTTACCAATAGTGGTTTATAGGTTTAAGCTTAATGTGCTTGAATGAATTATTTTCAGAAAAGATAACAACAACAGGAGATCAGATCTTGGACCGTGCCCTTTCAAAGATAGGTGAAAAGAACCTTTTCACCAAGGAACTTGAAGTTGCCCTTGCCAACAATGAAGTGGATTTTGTTGTTCATTCACTCAAGGACATGCCTTCCATGCTACCAGAAGGAATGACAATTGGTGCTGTTTGCAGGTCAGTCATTACTCAACAACTAATGGAGCTGGGCATCCCCCATCCCTTTCAAGGAATAAGGGCAGTGTTGAATGAGATATTTTCAAGTCGTTAGTGTTAACAATTACCAGCATGGTACTGGTTACTTGGTGAAATCATATAACATCTGTTACAAGTGAAAGTTTTTAATAGCAATTCCAACTAGGGAGAAACTGAGATTTGAGAATGAACGAGGAGCAAAGATGTAATCAAGGTGCGAGTCTTGCATGGAATCATTATACAGGTGATGAGGAATGTGGCCCAAGAATGCATCTTTTGCTCTGGAATCCCACCCTCTCCCCCATAAAAACCTCATATGAAGCCCACATAACCTCCAACCTTGGGAGACTTAATATGGCCTGAATGATTATGTTGGATTGACCTTCACCACTGGAGTTCTTTTATGCCCTATGTATAAAGACTGGAATGATACATGCTCAAGGGTCTCTCTTCCTTTCCAAAACATTGGGCTTGTGCTTGAAATGAACATCTTACTTGGTTGGTTTTGAACCCAGCTCCCCTGCTTCAGGAACCAAGCTCACTTACAACTGGGCTACACACCTGCCCCAACTCCATGTAAGGTTGGATAATAGAGCTCCAGAGATTTTCTAAATGCTGAAAATTGCAGTGATGCTACCTCATCCCATGCAGTGGTGTCCAGGATGTTTCAGTGTTTGAAGAAGGGTCATGACTTCCTACAGGATGACCACCATGAAGAGCAGCCAAGCACCCATTCACATCTATGCAAATGTCAATCATCTGTGTGAACTGGTCAGACAGGATTGCCAAACATCTGTGTGTGACCAATTTAGCTGCACTGTTGGGGATCTCACATGACCTGTTTGCTGTTTCTCCTTGCATATGGAGTGCCTGTGCAAAACTAAAACCTAATGTGTTAACAGACTACTAGAAAGCCACTCAATATACAACATGTGAAGACCTCAGCAGCCAAGATGACAAAATCTGAGTTCTGATGTCACAAGTGACAAAATATGAATTTAATTGCATGACTCAATGGGGAAGTAACATATTGTGTTGCTGTGTAGAAGACTCCACCTACTAGCCACAAGTTTTTCAGAGACCGTTCAAGAGGAAGGTCATGGTATGCAGGAAACTGCTCATATTCCAGTACTGCCCAACACTGGGTGAAGGAGGATTACACAAGTAACATTTGCTTCCCTCCCCCCTTTCTGGGTTCAGATGTCCAACTAAGCCCATCTTTCCCCATATAATGATTCATGTTAAGTATCTCTATCATTAGGAGGGAAGATCCAAGAGATGCAGTTGTCCTTCATCGCAAATGGGAGAGTGTGAAGGACCTAAATGATCTTCCTCCTGGAAGCATTTTAGGTAAAAGTTGCCTTCTCATTACTAATCATAGCCAGAAAGTCTTAAAATGTGCTCATCTTGCTATTTCAGGCACAAGTAGCATGAGGAGAAGTGCCCAGTTCAAATACCTTCATCCACATCTTCAGTTTGAGAACATTAGAGGAAATCTGAACACAAGACTGAAGAAACTGGATGAAGGGGATATGTATGCTGGGCTTGTGCTAGCTGTGTGTGGAATTGAGAGGATGGGACTTGCTCATCGAATCAATGTAGTTAGTATTTTTTTTTTTTCTTCCAGGATTTCTTTCTATTTGAACATGCTATGCTTCATGTTTGAGCATTCTCTATCAGTCAACTTCCTTCTCTTCACAGTACTTGGGAGAGGAGGAATGTCTATATGCAGTCGGACAAGGTTCTTTGGCAGTAGAGTGTAGAAAAGATGATGTGGCTATTCTGAAACTTCTTTCCTGCATCAATGATCGTGCAGCAGCTCTTCGCTCCATCGCTGAACGTTCCTTGCTGCATGCATTGGAGGGAGGCTGCTCTGTACCTGTTGCTGTGGCAACCCGGTTTGAAGAAGATTACCTCATATTGCATGGGGCTGTGTATGAACTTGATGGTTCCAAACAGGTCCTTGGGCATGATTCATCCAGGATCCCAGGACAAAAAAATACATCTAAATGTCAGGGTTACTGTCTCTCTTCACCAATGGATGTAGAAGAAATTTTTGAAATACAAAGTTGTAGTACTTGTAGCTGCACCCTTAGCAGGGGAGAATATAGTGGAGTAGCAGTGAGCATGTTCTCCTCACAAGAAATGGCCAAAGCTCAAATGTTAGGTGCTCGAGTTGCCAATATTCTAATGGAGAAAGGTGCCAAACCTCTTCTTGATCATGCAAGGGCTCAAGCAAAACCATCTTAGGTACAGCTACTTAGAATATATATAGGATTATCTCAGTCATGGCCATGTTAAATGTTGAATTCATATTTAGTGTGTTGTAGGACTATTCAAGAAAGGTTTAATTACTTGAATCATGAATAATGATTCAGGTTTGATTTTTGGATATGAAATCCTGCAAGGCACAAAAATATCCACATTTCACTTTCAACCTGTGCAGTTTATCAGAAATTGAGCACAAATACCCAGATTGGACTAAAAAAAACATTTTTCTTGGGGATTTTTTTTCAAATGTAACAAAGAGAAGTTGCAACAATACATCTTGCTCAAGTTATGCCACTGGACACTGAATTTTAGTTCTCTGCTGAGATCTAATAATGCATTTACTCTTATGGAACAGGATTTGTGCAATCTGCTTTTGGGAACTTAAGACAACATGTAAAGGTAACAATACAGGGATTCTAGGAGAGATCTCTTAACTCATGAACTTTTTGAGATTTTGTGAGATGTAACTTTCCTCAGTCGAGTTACATAAAATGACAGTGACAGATGCTTCATCCATATTTAGTGGATCTTCCAGGTATTTACTTAGCAGAATTTGCTAAACATTTTGTGAGCCATAGTTTATATGGCAATTTTCATTCCAAGTTTTTATGGTTGTGCAATTCATTCCTGAGATTTTACTTCAAGGTGCTGGTTGTCATCTTTTGTTGTTTTCTTGTATATGAGAGGGATTTTGTTGACTTTCTTTTGCTAAAAAATAACTTATGCGATTGGTTAAGAAAGAGACAGTTCTCAAAGGAACAGACTTTTCTTTGTTTCCAAGGCCCCATACATATAGGCATTCATAATGTGAAATTCCCCTTCAAGCTCCAAGAGAATGGAAAGACCAGCCTCTAATAGCACTCTAGCATTATCTCTAACCATCCTTTGTCGACACCCTGAACTAATTCAATTCCATTCCAATAATCAATTTCATATTTCTGTGCATTTTCTAATGTACCAGCACTCATGCAACAATATCTATATTTTCTTAGATGATCAAATCAATACATGGTGAGAGAATTACACAAGAAAACAGAGGAAGGATGAGCCGATCACAGTTGGAATGCACTGCGAATGTGAAATGATTGCATACTTACTTTAACAAAACCAAAGTACCAGGAGATGATGCTTTAGAAACATAAATAATGTGTTATCATACAATAGGAAAAATTATACAAAACCCAAGCAACCACACGAGAGAGAGAGAGAGAAAGAAAGAGAGAACTGGGTAAAGATCAGAAATGTGTGCCCATCCAGATTGATCTCTATACAATCTCATACTTCTCTGGGAAGAAGATCTCTTCAAGTGAATGCTTCACTGAGGAGCCATCCTGAACCTGCTTCACATCCACAATCTATCAGAAAATAAAAAAAGAAATTTCATCTGCTCTATTGCTAAGTAGTACATCAAATTCTGGATTCTCTCCTCTCATTCACTTACAGTGATGTCAGAATAGGCCTTCTGAGTGACAAAACTGACATTAACAGGGAAGAAGTCATCAGGAGCCCCCGAAGCAGCAAATTCCATGGCTCCAGACTTGTTGCTAGCATCAATCAATGGCAGCTTCCACTGCAAGGCACTAAGTTTGGTGTTGTGAAAGTATTCACCATCAAATTCTGCTACTACTGGTGGGGGAACCCCTGGCCCAGCCCTGAGTAGGAAAGATTGAAGATTATGATTAAATGTCTTTAAATTCATACTTAGACGCTAAAGAATTGGGAAAAAGAACCTGAGAGGTATGGTGATTGTTACATCATTCAGCTCCAGACTTTCATCTTGCAAATCATACTCAATGTTGACATCACAGCCACCCCGATTGTTCTCAGATGGCCAGCAATTGACTGCAAGAAACAGGAACCCAAAATTTTAAGCTCATGCTCAAGCTGCAATGGAAAGATTGCAAGCAGTCTTACTGGAGAGAGGAATGAGGCTTTCATCCTGAGTCTGAAGCCGCCATTTAAGAACTCCAACATCAGTATTCAAGGGGAATGATTTGGATGAATTCTTGAGACCAATTTCACCCTTCCGTTTGAAGAGCTCCTTATCCACATTTGGATGTGTCTTCATTGACCAACAAACAAGCATATGATAGCTTTAGAGTGCAATTCAACAATTAAAAAATAATATAATAGGGACAGTGACAAGGAATAAAAAAAAGAAATCAACCTGGACTTGAATGCCACGTTTATCTCTGTTCTCAAGCATCACCCGAATGAAACCAAATGTTTGCTCTGAGATGCGGAGAGTCATCAGGCCCTGTACTTCCATATTCTGGAGCCCACCTTCACGACTGGCAGTCAAAGTAATCTTCTCTTCAATGCGCAGATGAACCCTGCAAATATTACCAAGTGGAACTTGCAAGAAGCACAAACTGGAGAAAGCTACAGATCCACTTTGGCTTCTGCATCTTTTATAAAAGTATAGAAACATCTCACAGCTGCCTAACTGAAAAAGTAATTTCTTATGGTAAAAAACTGCTAATTCAATTAATTGATCAGCAAAATTCCCTTGAATCCCTTTTTTGGCTTGATATTTAACTGTTTGTGTGCAGATTTGTAAAAGAAACTAATATGAAGGGTATGCTATAGTCATCTGATGAAGTTATAGTTGGTAAAAAAAAAAAAAGTCAGTTTTGCATCCCTCACTTTTTTTTTTAAGAGGGTAACACAAGAACTAAGAATATGTTATTGGAATGATACATAGAGAAGCAAGAACCTTGTGAAGAGATAGAACAACCTTGATCATTTTTTCTTACTTTCAAGGGGTTTTTTACATCTTGATTATTAAATTAAATTACCCATTATTAATGAAATATTAAAATCAATCAGTGCCCTTATTAAAAACCATTTGAGCCCTTTTGGGACAGAGTTTTTTGCATGCAGCTTGTGCCTCCCATCCAGGTTTGTGGGGCTGTGTGTGCTTCATGTTAGGCTTGGGCTTGAAACATGCAGTATCTACAAGCAAGTGAAATTATAAGTTGCAGGTAAGTTCTTATTGCTTTAAGGTGTGGTAATTACAGAAGGAGGGATCAATGCAGAGAGCAAAAGGGACCATGTACACCTAGCCATACTGATACAGCCATAGACCCAAAAAGGTTAAAAGCAGGAAACAAAAGGCACAAGGTCCACTCACGGTTCTGTGTGCTGTGGTGGAGTAATTTTGGCAACAGGAGAGGGAATTGATCCAGATTTCACAGGAGGAGGATTGTTGACTACCGTTTCTCCTTCTGACTTCAGCTGATCCACAAAACTGTCAACATCCTTTCCTTTCCCTCCTAATTTCAAGGCACGGCTTGGCCCACTAGGCTTCCTGTAATATTCATGTACCACTTCACTTTCCTTACATATGCAGAGCAATGGAGGGTGTTCCTTCAAGGAAGAGGGACTCACGTGGGTGACTTATAAGGAGACTTGGGTAGACCAGGCTCTGGAGCGAATGCAATGTCACCCACAGATGGAGCAGATGGTACACTTCCTGAGCCAAAACCTCCCGAACCTCCAGACCCAAAATAACTGGGCTTTCCACCTCTTTTAACAGCTTCCATCCTCTGCTTCTGGAGCTCCTTCGCCTTTTCACGCATCTTTTGTTTAGCCTCCCTCTCTTGAGTCTGTAATCAAGGCAGAATGAAAATGGAAACTCAAAGATATTGATTTTGCCCAGTGCTATCTTACAAATAAAATGTTGGCTAACCAGAAGCAGGTTGGGGGGGAAATGCTTATTTGTTTAGATTTGATTGGTCATTTTCCCACTTACTACTACCCTGACAACAAGGTACATAATGAAGTCAAAATGGAACCAAAAAAGAGCAGGATCAGAAGCCTCCTTTCCCTGAACGTAGCACAAATTTTGCAGTGCTTTTGAGCTTTGGTCATTGACTCATTGGTCTATCAGGTAGAGGTGCTAAAACTCATGAATTTGCTATAGTTCTTGCAACTGCTGTGATTCCATTCATAGCAGAGTCCTCACCTGTCTGACAGCTTGATAGACCCTTTCTTCATGCGAATCCATTTCTACAAAAGTGCGAATCTGAGCCAAGTTCACACTCTCACGGTATCCTAGAGCCACTATTTCATCAAAAGCAAATATGAGATTGAACGAATTGTCTATTATGTCTTTCTCATCCATGTTGCGGCAATATTCTGGGATCTGAAATACATATATACATAACTTTAGAATACAACATCACTTGTTTGATAGATAGGAGAGAAAGTATTAAACTTGCAACACGAGAAAAGAGTCTCAATGTTTCAAGATCCTCCAAAATATTTGAAGCCTTGGTTGTAATGAGGAGCATATATAGTTTTTCCAATGGTTGATAGACATAGCGAACTGATTCTGTCTCCACAAAGGTATGTTGACGACTTGTTCCCACTGTGCTCCCAAGAAGCTTTGGGAAAGCTGCCAAGAGTCCCTCAATCCGAGGCTTGCTCATCTCCACAAATTGCCGTGAAATGATGGCTAGGATTGGGGAAGAAATAAGAATAACAAGAAGGATTAAGACATAATGTTTGGACATAATTAAACACATACTTTCCTTGGCTTAACTCTTTTGAACTAATATCAAGAATTCACCCAATCAATCTGTAAAAAGGCTATTTTCAAGATAAAATCCTTACATGGTAAAGATACCCCTTTCCATTAGTAAACTAAAGAAAGATACACACATTCCACAGTTTGCACAATAGGCCCCTACTAGGCCTGTTGGGGAACAGTGTTATATCAGATTCATTAGCTTCAAACTTCTCATACTACAGGGGAACTCCAAATCCAAGATATCCCATGTCCAAGTGCCCTTTCCAACCATAGATGGGATGATTTCCAACAAGCAATGTATTGATAGTGCTTTAGGCCAACTGCAAGATCAAATTCTTGGCAGGAAAGACTGACAATACACATATGCCTACATGAGCATTTAGGATAACACACTCCCTGGCCTCAGAATATGAAATTTACTGGACATTTGGATAAAGCAAGAAAAGAAAATGCTATGCAATGACATCCTACCTTTCCCAGACTTGGTACATATTGCTGCTGCAAGTAGCACCATTCTGGCAAGCAGGTCTCCTTAGTGAACCTTGGATAGATCTGGAAGAAAACAAGAAGCAACAACTTTAATGCACATAAGCATAATGGAATGAAGGGGTGGCCAAAATATGGCTCATAGCAATTTTCTAGCAGGTCTACACAACTGCTACATAGACAGGCTCATATTACTTATCAGAGAAAAACCTTCACACTCCACCAAAATAGAGGGTAATTCCATGCATTCAATACATCCTACACATCATTGAGTCAACTCCAGTCATTCATTCTTAAAAACATGTTCACATATACTGTCCTGCTCACCTCCATTTCTTATATTATGCCTGGATCTTTCTGACAGATTTGCTGAGAAATGGGTTTACATTAAATAATAGATCAAACAGACAACTCTGTTCTATTTTTAAGCCTGAATATTCCTCCATTTGTGCCTTGGGTTTTTCAATGTGTCACTATGAACCAAATGAAAAACATGAAGGGAGGTCCTTCTGTAGAATACTTCCAACAAGATACCATAATACCAGCTACTTGATCACGCATAGGAGGGCCTCAATTCATGAGCTCAAAACCACATTTTGTCATGAAAAGAAAAAAAAGTATGTAACCAAAGCAGTATTTTTGAAATGACATAATCAATTTATCATATATTTATACCCTGATTTAGGCAGAGTTGGAATGCTTTTTAGAGTTTCAAGAGTAGAGAAGATATAAATGAGATTTGTATGCAATGTAATATGGATACTTCAAAATATTAATAATTAGCAATTTGAAGAAATTTTCTGGTCCCATGAGCTATAAACTCAAAGAAACATAATAGTTGACTTTGAAGGGCAGTACCTCCCACCAACAGCTGACCTTCTATCCCAAATCTAGCATTCTAAGTGGCAGCAAGTTGAGCTAATCACCTTTTTGAAACTTTCACTTTGTCATTCAGAAGAATTCTAAACTTTGATAACACACCCTTATATTCCCGCTCCCTTTGTGATGTACAAGTTTGTTTCCAGTTGACATGGCAACTTCACCCATGTAACATATCTGTGCAAGTTATTGCTGATGTCAATGTGTTACATGTAATTATAGTAGTATGAATATAAGAACTGAAACCAGGTTTTCCTTAGTGTTTGCTTATACAGTATTTGTTATTATTTCAATATTATGGGTTTCCTTCATTGTGCATTGAGTGTTTTATTACAGTCAAGAGGTGTCTGGGTTGAATTAGGTAATAAAGTAACTAAAACGAGTAAATCTGATAATTCTAACCCATTTGTTTCAGTAGGCATTTTTTGGTCCCCTGAATTTTGAATTAATGAGGTTTTCCTGTATGCAAAACCATACCTTGCACTGGGGCAATCATAGCAATTTTGAGGCAAAAAAAAAAAACTTGCTTTCAGTTTAGCTACCCGCCGCTATGAACCTTACAGGCTCTCTGCTAAAAAGGGATTGAAACCTTATGACAGAACATTTCCCGACTCCAAAACAAACTGCCAAAGCATCACTAGCCCATTTCCCATCACAGAAGCCACTGCATACAAAGTTTGGCCAATATCTTTGCACCTAAACACTTAGTTACCATAGTTGTCCTATGAACAGAATTAACAGTCTTAGCTCATACCTTGCATCAACCCCACTCAATGAAGAACAAGAGAATGAATGCAGAAGCTGCTACCTCAGGCAAATGAGTGAGCCAGAAAATTTAATTTAAAAAAGACAAGGAAAAATCCAAATCTGACCCACCCTTCAGGAAGCAAAATTGTTGGGTGTTATTCATTTCCTTGTCAGCCCCCCCTTCTGCTATTCTAATAAATCTCTGGATTTCATGTCACCCCTCAATAACCCAATCAATCTTAGTGATCAAAATTTTTTCAGGTAAAGGCTTTGCATGGACCTAATCAGGGATCTTGATTGGGGAATAGCCTATTTTTTCCCAGCCGAAAGTTGGCATGATGGTGGATCCTCTTGCTGGACCTATTAGAGGAATTTTTCAATGGGAACGGGGCCAAGCTAAGAGAATTTTTTATGAAGAAAGGTACTGGCAGATGCAAAGGTCAAGAGGGCCTATGTAATTGTCAGTGCCTTCCACAAGGCATAACAAGAAGCAATGTAACTAGGTAATACAATGCTCTAATTATAGCCCTTGTGAGGAGGTGTTAGTAATAATGACTGATACCCAATGCCCATGATTTGGAAATTCAAACTCGAGTACGCTTTGGCTAGGATCAGACCCATCTTATATTCTATATAAGCGTAAGGCCTAATGTTAGTCTTGAGGAGGCCAAACTCTTATCCTCCTTGATTACTATAGATGGCTACAACGGTGGCCTCATGACAATTACCAAGCCCGTGATTGACCGATCCCCGAATGGCACAAGAATGAGCTCCAACAAATGCACAAGTCCTGTCATGAACTCTGTAACTTTACATTCTCGTATGTCACCAGGAATAACCAGACCCCTCAAGATAATCATAATCAGACTCGTTGATTCTGGTTCTCCATACAAAATGCTAACCAATTGCTAAGCCTAGAACGATGCGGTAGTAACGACCATGAGCCAAACCTTACGGCATATCGGTCTAAACCCCCAGAAGGCGACCATTTTCGCAAGTGACATGCGCAGTGACGTCATCCACATGTTGACGTGGAGGCGGTGGAGAGTAGTCCACGTGCTCTTCATCGGCCTTGTCAATAGGCTTGGTGATAGGTTCTTTCCATCCCCAAAACGCCCATCCAGCCAACAATCAAGTTCAGGCTTTGGCCCAGCCCACCGGAATAGAAAAAATACAGATCATGTTCTGCAAATTGAGTCTATACTGTGATTTTCAATTAAACACAGTTTTCTGACCAGTGACCGGTACATTCTTTCGATTATCACAGTGCTGGTTTCCAGGTATCCAGGAGGTCCAAGATCCCTGTCGCTTTCCATTGGTTAAAGCAGGGGTGTCAAACTCAAATAGGTAGGCGGGCCGCACCCATAAAATTTCACTGAAATTTGTCCTGACACTCAATCCATGCGGAAATTTTCAAAAGCAGACGGTGGTTCTATCCGGCCCGCGGGCCGTATGTTTGACACCCCTGAGTTAAAGCATTTTGTTCCCTCTTATTTGTTCCGAATTATCGCCTACGCTACATTTTCGATAGGAAGTACGTCTGCTCAGGGTTCATCACTGCAAGATCTACATGTCAGATGGTTAAATGACTCCCTATCATTCAGCAATGCCGAGCATACCGTACAGTGATTTTTTAAAATTGAAATTCGCCCACTTTGTGAATGGCGTCGCATGTCATACAACTTGAACGAGACCTGCCCTAAAAAATTATTATTCTTGAAATAATGAGTGACTGGGTTGGGAATTAAATACTTCCCGCCTCCGCTACAGTATGAAAGTGGGGAATGACAGTGGCATGCCCAACGGGTGGGGGTTTGGGGGGGGTCATAAACCTCCCTTTGGGGTCAATTTTACAGGTTCGATTCCCACAAATATTTCAATATGGTCACAAACACAGGGTGGGTTATCGGTTTTTTTAAATTATAAGTTAACTCCCCCCATAAGGGTGGGTAATCAGTGTTTCATATGGCAACCCCCCCCATCCCCCATTCTGATTTCCTGGGCACGCTACTGGGGAATGAATGCAATCGAAAATCACAGTAGCGCTATACAAAAAACATGTTGTCCATATGGTCTAGGGACTACCGCTTCCTGCAGGTGTCACGTCAATCGCATCCAGTGTCACGTTGGCAGCTTTGCTCAGTTGCCTGCTTGCAGCTTTTCCCTACTGATATATTATTCAACCCTTTCACGCATGGTGTCCACTATAGTGGACAGCAAAATTTTTGGCAATGATGATGGTTTTTTAGATATGGTTCACATACCTCGAAACTTTTGGTATAGGCCTATGCAGTCAACTCAAGAGCACGTAATCTCTTCAGTGTTGCTTTCTAGCGGTGAAACATGCGACTACTATGGCAAAGTACCTACTTAAACGTTAAACCCAAAAAGGCATATTTTTATTTTTCTCGAAAAATTCAAACGTGAAAGGGTTAAGTTAGATTTATTGCCCCCGAAGCTTAAACACAATAAATTGAAAGCAGTTGGTTAGAGAACATGGGTCTACAGTGTTTCCGGAATGACTTTAACCCCCATTAACATTGGCTCCATACTTTTCTATGGACCCTACTGGCGGCTCGGCAAAATAGTACTTCTATAACTTTCAACAGATGTCGTTTCAAGCAATAGAGGCCTAATCGAGTCAACTTAACTGTAACTCCTTACAGGCTCATGGAAGATGTCACAGGACCCTTCAAGGATGTGACTCACATTGAGCTTGTGACCGTAGATGACATGAAAAGAGATACAAGGTCTCTCTGGGAAGAGAGACCTTGTATCTCTTGTAATCCCTTCTATCAAGAGACGTTTATTCTTCCCAGAACAAACCGGCAGTGCAAGAAAAACAGTGTGATTGAATAGTTTTTCCTACTATAAAAATACGAATAATTTTTTTTTAATAGAGAAAATTATAGTTTGTCCACGGCTGACGTAAAAAATCCTATATTATCGATATTAATCAATTTTCAGTTACTGGTACGTTGTCAAACATAAAGTGAAGGAAGTGGAAGAGGGAACATATTTCATTTACATGGATGCGTTCGCGTGAATAGGAGTTCGGACTCATACAAGGTACATGTTGGTTTCCGTCAAGGCTGCGTTCTCTCCTTCCCTATACTTCGTGTACATGGATAGGATATGTAGGCGTAACATGGGCCTGGAGGGAACCAGCATCGGTGGCATTGAGGTATTAATAGATGCTTCTCTTTCGCTTCTCTCAGGCCCAGTTTCGACAGGAGTTCCAGAGTGTGCTCGATCGGCTCGACTCGGAATGTGTGCAGCCGGAATTAAATTGAGCTTCTCCAAAATGCAGGTTATGGTTCTTTCGAGATGTCCTGTGTAGCGAACCCCAGGGGGTCACAAGATATGGGGCACGAATGCCTCGCTACATATGGGGATCAGACCCAATGTGGTCGGATGGTAATCAGGAAGGTTGCGTGTTCTTATAGATGGTAAATTAGCGAGGGAGAAGCGAAGTCTCAGATCTCTCTAGACTCCAAGTATGAAGAAAGGTACGTCCTTAGATTAGGTTAACAACTGTGCAGAATTTATTAGGATACTCAATAGGGGAGAAAGACCGGAAGGAGAAATACAGGGAGATACAGTCTCACGGTTGTAGCTGGGGCTCGCACGCACTTCGTCCTGATACGTGGACGATCGGATGTGTTGGTTCCTGGCCGCCGACCGTGATCCAGGTCGTCGGCTCGTGGTGAGTCCACAGCAGTTCGCTATACAGGCCGGCACGCAGTTCGGGGCTCACACTGCGGTTCACTGAGTTGACCGGCGGTGAGGGTCAGGCTGCGTGACTCGACACGCCACGTGTCGTCCGGCCGAAGGGTCCTGGCGCACTCACGCGCCCACGTGTTGTCCGGCCGAGGGTTCGTGACGGACTCTCGCGTGCTGTCCGACCGGAGGTTCAACACGGACTGCTGCGTGCTGTCCGGCCGGAGGTTCAAGGCGGACTCGTGTCGGGCAGAGGTGAGGGCGTGAAGGGGCGAGAGGAGGTCCGCTATTACTATTCGGCGTAGTAACTCGGGGACTCTTCCCCTCTGCTCATCCATGGGCACGAGGAGGACTCCACACCTGTATAGCGCCGCCTTACGTGTTAGGAGGGCCCCATTAGTAGAGATGGAAGAGTGTACCTCGGGGTCTGGTTCTCGAGTGACAGGTGATACGGAAACGAGACCGGCGGCTGCATCTCCAAGGTTTCCGCTGTTTTGCAGAACTCTGGAGGACAGTGGTTGCCATACCTGACATTTCCAAGGATGCGAAACTTTCGGTTTTTAAGAGCGTTTAGTTCCCCACCTTCACATAAGGTCATAAACTCTGGTTGTGACCAAACGAATGAGGTCGCAGATACTAGCTGCCACGATGAAGTTCTTGCGGTGGTGTGTTGTGATGTCACGCCGAGTGAGAAGTTGTGGAGGGCTGCGATCTACAGGTCGAGCAGCAACGCACTCGGATCGAGAGATCCCAAGCCCGTTGGGTCCAACTCATCTCTAGCATGGCTCCCAATAACTTCCGTAGAGTCTCCCAATCTAAAATGATCGGCGAAAGACAAGTTGGTAGGCCTCGTGCAAGGTGGACGGACTACTTCGCGAATCTTTGTCACGAGAGGCTTGGCATACCACCTGCCGAGCTTGAGTCCGTAGCCTAGGATCGTGGACACTGGAAGATACTCCTCGCCTGCTTAAACCGCGACCGCATTATGTTGGGATAAGCGGATTCGAAAATGCATATATTTATAGCTGACATTTTAATGCGAAAATATAGAACTTATGGAATATTTGCATATAGGATGAAATCATGTTTTTACACGAAAAGAATCCAGAATAACAGGCAGAAAACAATTCGTGAAAGAAAGGGGTGAGACATAATCATATATTATGGTATGCTTAAAGGATACTAAGATTTCGCCGCAAAGGAAAAAAAAAAGGAACCTTGCTATCTACTATATCAAGAACTCAACATAGAATCACAAAGAGCGGCGCGTTTTTTTTTCTTTTTTTCCTCACCGGGTATTTGGGCCGTGGAACAATGGGTGACATGCACCAGATTCGTTCAACTTTAAACTGATTCGTTTTCATAATGGGCGTCTATGGGAATAAGTTTATCTCTGTTAAACTGATTCCCATAGGGGACCATTTTGGGATCAGATTAGTTTAGCTTAAACGGATCCGGTGCATGTCACCCAATGTATAGCTACTCAAAATAGGATCTGAGTGCTATCAAGACGCTGAGGTGGGAAACAACATTAGGGAGCTGCTGAAAAAATTTCCCCGGAGGGAACGGTCTTGGGGTGAATAAAAAAAAACTTTTAAAAACATATTTTAAAATTCAGTTCTTAAAGGTGGTTGCGCCTTTGCTGTATATTTCCTGGAGCAGACGACGGATCGCTTTGGATGTTATTTTTTTGTCTTATGACAGCTGGGTTACTCCGTGAAAAATCACCCAAAAAGTATGTGCATAGTAACACCCTACTGTCACCGATTTGGCTGAATTTCAGCAAATAGAGTTCTCCTGCTCCCCAAAAAATCCATATTAACTATTCAAAAGCATAACTTGGCCAAATATTGGAACCTCTCTGAGGTGTTTCAGAAGGCTTGTGCAATGAACCAAAGAACAGTCTAGGCAGGGCCGCAAAGAGGTTTCCAGAGGCCAGGGGCCACACTAAACAGGAGCCCCCTTTGGGGGCCCTTCTGGGCAGGCCTGAGCCCAGGGCCAGCCAAATACCCGACCTGGTTTAACTTCCATTCCCTCACCATAAATAATGTGACAGACTTGGATCCAAGTAGTCGTCTCAGAGGCCTCGATCCAGGGCTGTTATACTTCATGAGTCGGTATTTACATGTTACGGAGAGAATAAACAATTTGTTTTCTAGAAATCCTCGTGCGGATACATGCACGGAAGGATGTTGTTCAGTAGGCGACAGGTGGATAATCAATCAGTTTCATGTCTGAGTAGCGGTTGAATGCTAACACTATAATTGTTAAGTATTGACTTCTCTTCCCTAAATTGAAAAATGAGCACATTGACCAGCCCAGTAGCAATCTGAAAAATTGGCTGTCTTGTTTACTTATTGAAGTACTAGTTACTCATAAATGTTTGAAAGTCAACACATCGTTATTTCGAATATTGGAAAGCGCCTCCCAGATAATGAGGGCACTACCATGACTGCTATTTCAGACATGCTGTGGCAATAACCTTAGGGATCTGGTATCAAGGGCTCAGTCTGAACAAAGAAAGAAAAAAGTTTATTCAACAAAGTTGGGACTCATTGTCATTCATAAAAGGGAGAGAACAACTAGCAGATAAATGCAACAAATTTAGGCCAAATTTAACAATGCAGAAAGACACCTGCAGGATATGTCATAGTCAATGTCCTGTCTTAACAATGCTAGCAAGGAATTGTTCTCCTAAAATAGCTAAGTTCAAAGAAAGAAAGAACCATGGGACCAGATGATTTCATATCCAAATGAATGCACTCCATTAATAAAAAATTCAGAATCCAGCTGCATGAAAAGATGAACACAACCTTATCTTACACACTATTTTGCAAAGGGGCTTCAAAGGAAAATGAGGCAAGTCTAGACAACAAGTGCTGAATCACCCCTTCTCAGCAAGAACAGCACATGTGACACAGTACCTACTTGGAAAGTGATAAATACATAAAATATCAAACAATGATCATCCACAAGAACCAGTACATGAAACACTACTCTTTAAGATGCAGGCTCTCTATTTGGGACTTTGCAGAACATCAATTCAGTGAAAGCGATATTTCATAATTTCAATGTGAAATACAATCAAGAGCAACACAGACATGAGATCCAATGGGATACAAATATCTAACAATGAAATGGTTTCTGAAAATAGAAAAAATGCCCTTCGTATTCCAAATATTTTCATGAGGTTCAACCTCAACTCTAGCAGCTCTATACTGCTTCACAGATATCTTTGACAGTAGAGTAAAATGAGGTTGAGAGGTGGACTGAGAGACTTGTACTGTCTAAAATAAGGCAGTCCATGGCCATCAAGAAACTGCATCTGAGGAGGGAGCAGAGGAGTTGAGGTGAGTCAAGCAATGCCCAATTTCTTTGCTGTCTTCTCGGAATCCTTCAATCCTGGAGGAGATTTTCCAAATAGGATTAGTGTAGAGCTGCTAAAAAAAATATTTCATACATACATATATATATATATATGCATGTGTATGTGTGTGTCACTGACCTCTGCTTCAGATCTGAAAGGAAGGTTTGAGACCAGGAGCCATTCTTGAGGGCTTGAAGTAGGAACGAGGACAAGGCACGGAAGCAGTGCTCCCTCACTCTGTTATGAGGGGGATTATCCCAAACAGGTGTTTCTTGTACATAATTCCATGCCATGAGAACATATTCCACCACTGAATTCCACTGGCCACTCTCAACTAGATTCCTTCCTTGATCCATGCAGCACTTCTACAAATGATAACCATAGTGTACCTTTCAATCAGCAAGAACTAAAGAGAGCTAAGATGCAAACAAAGATGCACAAAATAGGCTATCTCTTAGCTTGTTCACATGTTATGAAATGGTCATAGCCAGGGGTCAGCAGCCAGAAACCACAATAACAGACCAAGACAGCACTCAACAAAATTCATCAGGTTACACTGAAGGTACAAGCAACAAAGTGAGCAACTGCTTCCTAGTACAGCTCTGTCTAAAGTCATGCTGCTTTCAGGACTTCATTGCCTGACTCTCCTTTTAAGAAGTATTTCAACCACATCATCACTCTGAATACTTCAAATGTCTTTCTAAAATGACTTAGCTCAACCAGCAAACTCTGAAAACAGGGAACTAGAAACATGAAGTTCATGATATTGACATGATAGAAGAAAGGACAAGCCCATATACCCAACATCACCAAGAGCCACATGGGTTAGGTAATACAGTGAAACCTGCATAATATGGCCACAGGGGGACTTTCTAAATTAGGCCGGTTCTGACAGGTGGCTGCCATAAAGAGGAGAATCCCCCCCACTTTTTGATGCACATGCATTTTGTGTAAGCACACATGCTCCTGGAGAGATGCTTCAAGCAAT